GTATGTAGAAATAGGTATTGTACAAATGTTAAGTTACCCTAATAGATTATAGATATCAGATCCTTAAGTTGGCTCAGGTTACATGAGTTCTTGTAGGGCGTACCTCTCTTGATTTACTACTACTAGTTGTGAAGAATTACATGGTAAACCTAGGACTTTGTGTGAATAGGGTAGTGACTCTCATATGCCTAATTAGCTTACAAGGTGTCCAACCATTTCGCTCATTTCACGAGTGACCTCTTTCGCTCTCTGCTCTGCTAAGGCTGCCATAGCCTCAACTTCCATGAGTTGTTGCCTTAGGGTGGCCACCTCCTCTTCTAAGGAGCGGAAATGATTGGTAAGGTCTTCCTGCTCTGCGTGTTGGTTCGGTATTGCTTCCGAGGGGTAAGGCTCGCTAAGGATCTCTCTGGCGCCTTCATCCATGTCTGACTCCTCGTCGGAGTCTTCTCTCTTGTAGTCCATTACTGGGTGTTCCTCGAGGCCTACTTCTGGGTTCTCCCCTTGCACTTCCTCTGGTTCTCCCTCGACCTATTCGTTGGCTATTACCGCATGGTAGTAAGGGTCTTCGGGGTGAAGCTCAGCCATGTTGCCTTTGTGAGAATGGAGATATGAGATACATGTAGAAGATTTAAGTGTAGAGGTCATATGGTATTCTAAAATGCTACTGTAGTATTACATGTTTGATCCTAGGGCTTCCTGATGTACGAAGTCGATAAGTTTTTAGACTTGTTGTTATTGTTTAGTATCATAAAATACCCCTATAGTATTTTAAAAAATAGATATAGCTCTAATGCTCCTTTGCATGTAAGGTCGGTAAGTTTTAGACTCGTTGCAACGCTACCCTAACTCCCAAGCACATGTTGGTCGTATCTCAAATAAATATAGTTGATCATGCTATATTTATCCCAGATATGACTACATAACTGCCCATGTTTGACTGTAGTGTTCAACATCTAAATACTTTTGTTTTGTTCTTATTATGATACGGTTCTAGCAAGTATGTATACTTTTAGAAGATACTTATATTCTTAAGGTATACTTTTAGTCAGAGTGTTTTTAGTCCCATTGTATTTATAGTTGTATATCTTGTATGGTTAGATATACTAGTTCACTATAAACAATGCTCTGATACCAATCTGTCACACCCCCGAACCGGGACGACGAAAACGTCCGGGGGCGGATGACTTCATGTACAGTATCATAACAATTAAATATGAATGAAACATAGCAACCAAACATCATACATTGGAAATACACACTTACATAGTTTACATATCAAATTTGTTCATCAATTACACAAAAGTAAGAAAGTAAAATTTCTTGAAGTTGCACCACTTGATCTCATCGTCAAGCTTATTACCTGTTACTGGATCCCTGAGAATACAAGTCGTTTTGAAAAGCGTTAACTAAAAAGTTGGTGAGTTCATAAGCATTTTTGTATAAAATGGTTTTGTACTTGTTTAGAGTAGTTCTCATAGTGCTTCCAGAAATTCGATATTTCTATAAAAATAATTTGTAAGTCTCGTTCTAAAACTGTGAATATTTGCATGCCTGTCCTAGGTTATATTTTGCTTGTAAAAGTAAAGCGAATATTCCCAGAAAATCCGATATTTTCTAAAAAGAAATGGTTTGAAATATTTGTGTCCGATCTTATATTAATGCGCATGTGTTAATGTTTGCGAAAATAGAAAGAGAATGATCGCAGACAACCCAATGTTGTCTGCGTAAGAGAATGCTGGAATCTCAACCCCCGAGGTTGAGTACCAGCGCGTATAGGTTACCGTTTTATCCAAAAAGAAAAGAGAATGGTTTCCCCGTAAATTTTATAACGTTAATTCCTCTAAGTGAGCCGTTATAACCATACTAGATAATGACAATTTCGCATGTCATGACGTTGTTGGACGCCGACGGAATAAGATAAGGTTTTTGTCACCCTAGACTGGCCTAGTCTAATTGTAGCGAACAGCTCAGGTGTAGGGTGTCATCCCCGTATAGATCTATACACAAACTCCCGCTCTCCCTCCAGGAGACTCTGGTTATAACTACAGGCTACGATCGTACACTCATTAGGTGTCAACCGACACATCTCACTAGATCCTTAATCGAATTTACGCGGAAAAGAAAGAAAAACATATAAGGTATATTCCAGGCCCATAAACATGTAAGTGGACAACTAAGGCCCACTAAACATGTATATTATTTCCAGGCTCAAAATGAATGAGAATGTATATCACGGGCCCAATATACATGTAAAAGGACAACTAAGGCCCACTAAACATGTAAAAGGACACTAAGGCCCACTAAACATGTAAAAGGACATTAAGGCCCACTAAACATGCAAAAGGACACTAAGGCCCACTAAACATATAAAAGGACATTAAGGCCCACTAAACATGCAAAAGGACACTAATGCCCACTAAGCATGTAAAAGGACACTAAAGCCCACTAAACATGTATATTTTTTCCAGGCCCAATAAGGACGTATATATATATATATATATATATATATATATATATATATATATATATTAAGTACATATAAGTTAACATGTCTAGATGTTTTTAAAGTATATCTAAGTTTACAAACTTGCATCTAACACATGTATAAGAACTTTTAGCATGATACAAATAATTTCTTGTTTTTGACCTTTCTGTCCCTGTTTTAGAATAATTATAGAAAAATCATCGTAAGTCGAAATTTAGATCCGTAAACTCTGAGAGTTTCGAAAATGAGTCTACTTTGTTCTTTATTTTTATTATAATTTTTAATGGCCTCAAACCAGTGTGAAAATGTTCATCTTCACAGACTGGTCCGAAATCCTTCCGGAAATGATAGACAGTTTTGTAAAAATCGGCAAAAATTGTAGAAAAATCGTATGAACGCGTGAGAGTAGTCATTTTAAAGGTATAAACCTGAACTTTTTGCATGTAAAACAGTTTTGAAAAATATTATAATTAAGGTGGTCAAAAAAGTCCGTAATTAGACCAAATCGTTTATGTTAAAAAGCTGATTTTTGAGTTTAGGTTATACTTGTTTGAACACAACACTTATTTTTGCTATTTTGAGTGTATAATCTCAGATCTACAAGTTTATAGGTAATATATAAGACTAAACATACTTTCTCATGTTTTTTATGAAGATTTAAGTGATAAACTTCATGTTCAAGTAAAGATCCAAAAGTTAAACATATAACACAATGGTACATGCAAATATCCAATGGTTAAACGAGAGTTGACTTGTATCCTCCCCCCGAAAACATGAAAAATACGAAAGATATGGGGGTATGAAGCTCACCTTGGAGTTTTCGAGATGTAGAAGAAGTTGAAGAAGGAGATTTCGAGTCTAGCTTGTGTTCTTGGTGAGGTTTTCGAAATAGTGGTGTTTCTAAGAGTTTTACACACAACAAAAGTGTGTAAATGGAATGTTTGAGCATAAACATGAAGTAAAACTCTTGAGTTAGACAAGAACTTACCAAGTTATGGATCTTGAAGAAGACTTCTTGAAGAACACACACACACACACCCTACGAATTTAGAGAAAGAAGATGGGAGAATTTTCTTGAGTTCCTGAGAGGGAAATATGATAGAATGAAGTTGGATAGTGATGAAAGTGAAGTGAGAATGATGGTGGTGTGTGTTTGGTCGAGATAAGGAGAGGAAGAAGAAGAAAGAGAGTGATTAGACATGGGGTTATTACATGGAGGATTAATGCTTAGTTTGGATAATTAGCCTAGATATCCTCTAAATAAACATGAGGTGCCTCCATAACATTATCCCATCTTTTCTCTTTTTTTTTTTCTTTTTTTTTACACAAGTCCTAGCCAAACCGTGTAGGGTTTCCGGCCCAAAGGAAGGCCCAAAAGAAGGCTTTCGGCCCAATAAGGCTAAGTGAAGAGGTTATCGGCCCAATAGGGCCCAATAAAGAAGTCTTGGCCCAATTAAGGGGTTTGGGTCGAAATTTATTGGGCTAGGGCCCAAAAATGTTTGGATTTGGCTTATTGGATCGAGTTTTTGGGCTTATACATGGAACTTATATTGTTTAGGAATTCACATCTTAACCTATTTTTTTTTGCCAGTTGTGACACAGATTCAGATATTAAATCGGATATCCGAAATTCGTGGTTTGCAAATATAAATTTCCTTTAATTGATGTTTTGTGTTTACTTTGGCAAAGGAATTAACACACCATTTACTTCCTAATAGAATTAATTAAAATAAATAAGCAACAAAAGTATTATGTAATTTGGGATTAATTGATCCTTATAGTGACTTTATAAGAGAAAGAAACTTTCTTGCGCTAATTTTATAAACTATGCATTATGCTAATATTATATTAAGAAAAGAAAAATGACTACATAAGTCTTTTTTTGTTCATAAGTTATTATTTTGGAGATAAATTAAAGATAACAATTAACTTTCCAAAAAAACAAAGTTCACGTTACAATTAATTTTGAATATAAACTAAAAAATAATTTTGAAAACAAATTGATATTGTGGTAGAAGATCACAAAAAATAAATAGAAAAATATTATTCCATCTAAAATGACAGCAAAAATATTATACGACAATAATTAAGGGGATCACAAGAGTAAATGAATGAAAACATAAACCAAGGGCTATTATAATCTATTTGATAAATAAATAAATTTTGGATATCGGATATCCGAAATATTCGAAAATGTCTAAAATCAACATCTGTATCCGAATCTGAAAATTAAGATGTCCGAATTTCAGATATCCGAAATTCTGGATATTTAAAAGTTCAGATAAATTTCGAATCGGATTTTCGGAACAGATATCAGATATCAGATAGCGGGTATTTTTTCATTGAGGATCAAAATGTCAGATTTATTGGAATGAGTATCATACTCAAATATTTTACAATATTTGACATCCTTTAAAATAAATGTTGTCAAAAAGGGGTAAAAGCGATATAATTGAAAGTATAGCCACCGTTGATATAAATATACATTAATTATCCTGAACACAACAAAACGTAGGTTTTCCCCAAATGTTTGTTTCTAGGGTTTCACAGAGGAAAAGGAAAAAGTCCCAATTCTACGACGGAGATTCGGATCGGTTGATCCAAAAGTGAAAATCTAAATTGTTTGGAAGTCGCAAGGGTGAAGGATCTGGTTTTATTGATGATTTTGTCGAGGAAGATGAAGAATTGGAGCAGTAGAACCGTCCTGGAGTGGAAACAAAGGTTGTATTTTTATTACATATAACTAGTTAATTATCGTTTTACATAATAAAGATTGAATCTTTATATCTTTATATCTCGATGTGTTGATTGATTAATGTTAAAGACGAAAGGGAAGTCACATCACCATGAAACCATTCCTGATTCTCCTTTTTTCTACGATGATATTGATATAATCAGTGAAGTTTTTGTGTTTTGATAGTTAATTGTCGTTTTATGTAATAAAGATTGAACCTTTATGTCTTTATATCTCGATGTGTTGATTGGTTAATGTTAAAATGGAAAGGGAAGTCACACCACCATGAAACCCTTCCTGTTTCATTCCGTTTTTCTACAATGATATTGATATAATCAGTGAAGTAATTGTGTTTTGATAGTTAATTGTTGTTTTATGTAATAAAGATTGAATCTTTATATTTTATATCTCAATGGGTTGATTGATTAATGTTAAAGTGGAAATGGAAGTCACACCACCATGAAACCATTCATGTTTCCTTCTTTTTTCTACAATGATATTGATATAATCAGTAAAGTTTTTGTGTTTTGATTTCACAGTAAGGTGGGCGTTTTAGGATGTTTGATAAATGGTGCAAATTGCGAGAGAATTTCAATTTAGGGTATAAAGTATGTGCTTTTTTTTTTTTTTTAGTTCATGCCTATATTGGTGAGTATAATTAGTTCCTTTGATGTTTATCTTCATAAATGCCATCTTTATAAATCTCACACATGCTTAAATTTTAAAATAATTTGTAATCTGCACCTCTGCATGAAAATATGTAGAGGTATCGTGTGTTCTGTTACAGGATTATTCCTTTGGAGACCTTGGCCTCTCAAATTGCCAATCCATTATCTCTTTTGTCGTTAATTTTGAATGAAATTGTAATATGTTTCTTCATTTTGAGTTGTTCTTATTGAGCTTTAGTGTTGAGATTGAGCTAGTTCATTGCATTTATTAACGTGTCATGGCATCTTTTTTTAAACAGAAAGCTTTATGTAGAAATGGCCCAACATGAGGCTGGAAAAACAAAGTATAAAAGCAAAGAGGAGGACAAAAAAAACAAAAAAGAACACCAATGCAGGTACTTGCTAAGAAAGTGTATGCAAACAAGAACAAACTTTTCCAGACCGTTGTTGATCAGACTTCGACCAAATCAGATTTTTTGGCCTAAGGCGACTTCACCACTCTTTATCTTAATGATATTATTGGTTCACCTCTCTCTCTCTCTCTCTCTCTCTCTCTTTTTTTTTTTTTTTTTTTTTTTTTTTTTTTTTTTTAAAAATGTTTCCTTGAACCAATTATCCTACAAAATGTTTCTGGTTTGATAAAATTAAGATTATATCCCAAACATCCTTCTAACGATCAAGATATATGTCTTTTCTCACATTCATGAAACTATGACACTTCCATTTCTTGTTGCATATCATTACTCATCTAATGATGTGTTAGTACATAAACAATTATTTCACGTTACTTTATATTGTTTGTTTTATAAAGGGTAAACCCCAGGAAAAACCCAAATTATCATCCCCTAAGTGACTACTTAAGTACATGAAATCTGTTGTCTATTCACTTGGTTTAGTACTTCTTCATGATGACAGGTGATAAAAACTTTTTAAGTATTTTAAATTATACTAACATTTGTCATCTGTGTTTGAAATTACAAGTGAAGCATCAATTTGTGTACGAATACACCTTTGTAAAAGAGACAATACTTTTATCTACCGACTTGCGGATTAGTATCATCTGTGAATTCCTTATTATGTATATGTATGGAATTCAATGTTAGTTGTGCAAGCATACCGTTGGTGGACAGTTTGTCACATTTCTAGGGTATGCTGTGAATATTTCATATAAAAACCTATTTTCAAATTATTACTAGTTTCTAGTTGTCACTTCTTATATAGTTTGATTTTGTTGAGTCATGATGATTTCATCCGAAAGCATGAAACGTTAGTACCTATTTACATATCTGTTTTTATGACATATTGTGTGAAAATTGAATCTTTGGGCCTTATCTCGTACTAAAAGCTTAGAATAATAAATGCATTTCATGTTTTCAAATATTTAGTCTTTTTTAAGCAAGATATGTTTGAGGTCAACGATCTTTACCTTCAAATCTCATTTAGGAATGTGCATCCCGTAGAAACCGTGAATTGCTTTTTGCACCTGTAATACGATTTGTTTCATGATTTAAGAACCAAATGCATAAATGAATTAAACAAACTAAATTGTAATTTCTTGCATTTGGCCCTTTATAAATTTAGCAACTAATGCTTGCAAAGTACAATCCTTGTAAGGAAAGAACCAAAATTCATTGTTAATAGAAAAAATAAAATTAAGATGTGTTGCTAAAAAAATTGATTATTTTTTCTAATTAAAGCATACTACTTTGGTAAGTCTAACAGATCATAGTACAATATTCATGACTAAAGAATATAACATTTGTTTTATCTAAATTGTCATTCAAATTCAGAATTTCACTCAGTTACATGTTTCTTCTTTAGTTAAAGCTATATTTCATCCAAGGGAGAAGGCAACGCCAAAATAAACAAAAGAAAATATGCTTAAACGATTCATACTGATGTTTAGGGAAATCAACTTGGGCAAGAAGATAGACTGCTTGATCAGCTATGGGCTGTTAAATTAGGCCTAAGCTTCGTTAGTTGTTAATCATTACCTTCATTTTCTGCAAATAGTAAACTTAGCCATACATTCCTTTAACTTTTGCATTAGACTACTGCTGTTAGGGACTATTATTAACCTCATTTGGCTCAATATTTTGGAACAAACTTTGGTCCACATGCAAGTCAGTTTTCGTTGACATCATGCTTAATAGTGGTATTAATTGCGTCAATTAAAATTTGTTATGTCTGGGAATAAAAATAATCCTTTTCTTCTTTTTTCTTATCGAGGTGTTGTACTTTGACACTACAATACACACTTATATCACTGTCGTTTCATTTTTTCCGTATTATAATATTGCCACATCATTTTATCTTATGAAGACATTGTACTTTGAAAAACACACCACTTATAACATTCTACCTTAAAATTTTGAAATACCCAAATCACCCTCCATACATATACACTAAAACCTGCCGTCCTATCTTTTGTACACTTCAGGATTTTGCCAATTTTGGTCCCTGCACTTCCTTCGCTTCCAATCGAATGCTTACACAAATACTTACAAATATCCATTCAGCCATCTCTTGCTACCTCTTCAGCTTCGTCCACCTATGTAACATGCATGTACACTCTTGCCTTTCCAAGACCATCGGCCTTCTTCCTCAATATATTCCCCAAATACAGGTGACATATATATATATATATATATATATATATATATATATATATATATATATGTGCTTAGCTGACCTGTTGATGGTCTACTTTTGTGTAAGTGCAGATTATGGGCTCTTGTTCAACCATTAGTTCTTTAAAAGCTTGATGTTGATTATGGAAATGTTTGTTGAGCTATAGTTGATATCAGCATGGTATGCTTTCCATTTACTTGTAACATGCTTTGACTAGCATGTATGCATTTAGATGTTTGTAATTCCTCATTCTCTTAGCCAAATTCTTGATGAGGCAGGTGTTGCTGACCAATTTGTGATGGAAGTACCTAACAAGGTATTTTATTTTAAATTTGGTTTAAGTTTATTAGCCATTTGTTGCAACTAGTCTTTAATCGTGTTATTTTTTGTTTATGTTTCTAGGTTGGGTCTTATTATTGGTAAAAGGTGGAGACCATAAAGAATATGCAAGGCACTACATGAGCTCATATTCAGGTCTATTTAACTTCCCTGTTCTTTATGGGCCTACAAATGTCTTTTTTGGGACTATCACATGGCAATTGAAAAGATTATTGTACCTACTGTCAGGTGATACCACTCCACCCACCCCACCCCCTGGTGATACATCAATAGAGAGGACAATATAGATAAACGGATCCACTGACCAGATTGAGTCTGTAAAACAGTTGCTTAATGTAGTAATCAAAGAGGTATGTGTGGTTATGCTCTTGGCAACATTACATTTCGTTTTTGATAAAAAAAAGTTCTTTATTCCATGTCATGTGTTTATGCTCTTCCCATTTGTTTGAATAGTGTCATATGTACGTCTGATTAAGTCAAATTGCGAAGAATGAGTCATTTGTCCCTTTTGTTTCCTTGTTAGAATGCTAGGGACTCGCTTGAAACAACAAAAATCACAATCAAATAGAGCAATAAAATGAGCAATTCAGCCAATAACTCACTTAGAACAATCAAGAACATCAATCAAATGGAGTTTCGGGGAAAGCTTTCATTAGAAAATCAAAATAAAAAAAGGGTTTCTAGCTGTTCAAGAGATAGACTCTCCCACACACGATCCCAGGCACTAAAAAGCCTGCAATAACAACTTTTGATAGAAAATACCAAAAGTACCCTTTCCACTGAAATGCACTATTTCGCCTTATCTTGCTTTCCCATTTTACCCTTCCTTGCATATGCGAAGTTTAATAGGGGACTAGCATAGAAGTGTCCTACCTAATTGAAGTATTTGTCACCTGGAACCAATAACCACGTTTAAAATATGTGTAATGAAAGTATATTGCTATTTCTTGCAGTAAATAAAAAATTTATTAACAAAATTAAATACTGTTTGTAGTGGTCAGAACTAAACATTGTATTTACATATAGTAGAAAGTAATGAAAGTAGAATGCTATAAAAACAACTAAACGAAATTCGGTTGCTATTTATTGCAATTAGCCATATTTATTGCTATGAAGTTATTTCTTTTTGTTTCCCCTAAAGGGTATTGAACACTTGGTGAAATTTGTGTTTTGATTTCACAGTAAGGCGGGCGTTTTAGGATGTTTGATAACTTGCGAGAGAATTTCAATTTAGGGTATAAAGCATGTGCTCTTTTTCTTTTAGTTAATGCCTATGTTGGTGAATATAATTTGTTCCTTCGATGCTTATCTTCATAAATGCCATCTTTATAAATCGCACACATGCTTAATTTTTAAAATGATATGTAATCTGCACCGCGTCTGCATGAAAATATGTATGTTCATCCTATTAGGTGTTGGGTAAACTTCACTTATCCTGGAAGGGGTGAAAAGGGTAAAATAGAAATAAAGGGCATTGTGGGTATTTTAACTATTGGGTTTGTTATTTATTGCTTGAGTAGTGGAGAGTAGAGGTATCCTGTGTTCTGTTACAACATTATTCCTTTGGAGGGGCAATTTGAGTAATTTTAGTTTTTATTTTTAGTTTTCCCAAAAGTAAAAAGGCAAGAAATAGCGCTGTTTATGGGTCTCGTGAGAAAGTATCATTTCCGTCAAAAAGAAACCCTCGATTTCTCATTTGTCTAGTTATCGTTCTCCTGTTCAGACTTCAGAGGCTCAGAGAACAATCAGTGAATCAGGTCGCACTCCATGGATATATTGAAGGTAAGCTGATTTCCAGTTGCTTTGAGCGATTGATTCTTGCTTAAACCTAAGTTTTGGGGATTCATTTCCATGTTCTTACTAAACCCCTTATGTCCGTGCTCTTACTAAAACCCTTATGTCCGTGCTCTTGCTAAAACCCTTATTTATAGCAAATTCCCGATTAATACTGTGTGCAGATTCTGTCTCTGTTTCCTGTTGATTGGTTGTATCCATGGTATCCTAATCTAAGTTGGTTGTTTAGATACTTGGAGATTTGTAAGGTTAGGGTATTCCTAAGCTGAGAAATTGGTGCAAAGAGGGAGTTGATGACAAGAATTAGGTTCTTGGATCTGTTTTATTCAGTTTTTGTTAATCAGGGGAGACACTTTATTGCTTTGAGTGGGTGTGTTGATTTAAATAATGTCAATGTTCAAGGGTAGGTGGTTGGAGTTTGTTCTTTGTGTTTATGGGAGTTTTTTTTAGCATTAGGGTTTGGTGTTGTTAGAGATGGAAGATACCATTTGCATTGCTGTTGGGATTATTTTGCAGTGGAATTTGGGATTTTCTTTCTTGGGGATGGTGTGTTATAAGATGATTTGGCTAAAGATGTTTTATCATATTGTCATTGATTGTAGCAAGGGCTGTTTTTAACTATTGCAATTGCTATTTTTAGAGATAAGGCTAACTTTTCTTTGATTTTCTGTAGAGGTTCCACTATTCTGATAAAGTTTTGATCAAAGAAGACAATGGCATGGTGACAGAGGGAATCTACTTATGGCCTGTGTACACAATCAAGACAACAGAGGAAAAGGTACCTCTAAATGGTCAATAAAATGTAAAATTCATGATTCCATCATGTTATATACATTCTAAAAGCGTTTACTATTGCAGTTCATTGTAGTGGAGCCCCACCATGTAAAACGTTTAGATGATCCAACTTCTGTAGGCCGTACTAATGTGGATGCTACTAGCACTCAGCTGAGACCTGTAAGTATTGTTATTGTCTTAATGGAGTTTTGATTTTTATACATAGGTTTATTACTTGCTAACTCTAACTTTTCAAAACAGTTTATGATGTATTAATCTGTGATTCTTAATAAAGTTCCAAAGGGGGTGTAAGGTGTTTAGTAGATATTACCAACATAATATGAACACATTGTTGCAGGTTTTCCCATTACTTTTTAACTCATCTTAAATTGATGTGCATATAGACATTGCCCATTCAGGCATTCACCTATTAGGTTATGATTGACACTTACTTTTATATTTACAGGTTGAATGTATAATTGTTTTTCTTTTTGTGTATAACAGCCTCTCAGTAAGCGTGACCTTGTTTTGATACTTGCGGAGGGTTACCATGAAACATTCGGGGAAGTTATCGGGCCAGTTGTTGGTAAGCAAGGTCTATATAAAGTCAGACCATGCGGTACACAAGAGATTTTGCACTGTAAGTGCTAGTGTGTAGTTTATTGTCTTCTATAGTATCCTTCATTCTATTCTTATTACCGTTCGTGCTTTTGCAGTGTACAATGTGCAGCAACTCAAGCTTGTGATTGAGAACTGGTGATACTTGTTTTTTTCTTATTTATGATTCTTACATTGGTTATGATTCTTATTCCTATCTATTGTTTAGGTTTGGCCACAATGGTGGAGGTGGAGGTGGAGGTGGAGGTGGTGGCAGCGGTGGTGGCCACCACAGAGGCAGTGGCGGTGGTGGCCACCGCGGAGGCAGTGGCAGTGGCGGCAGCGGTGGTGGCCACCGCGGAGGCAGTGGCAGTGGCGGCAGCAGTGGTGGCCACCGCGGTCGCAAAGGCTCTGGCCGTGGTGGTGGCCGCTGCGGTGGCTCTTATGGTGGTGGTGGCCGCCACAGAAGCGGTAAGAGATTGTTTTTTTTTTCCTTAATTGTTTGATCTTTGCTTCATATCAACTAACCTTGCTTTAACCATTGAAGATGCTCTACCGCTGGGGAGACCTGAGGAGGGAGACACTGTTGCCCCACGGACGGGTGTGCACAAAGGCCAACGTGGGATGGTTATCAGTATTGAAGGTAGCAGAATGCAGGTCGAACTACAGAGTGGGAGTAGGCCAGTATTGAGTTGTAAGTGTATAATTTTTTTTTTGTTTATTATAGAACTATGCATTTTTATTACATACTTAAAAGAATATTGGTCCTCAAATTTTGGAGATAGCAAGTCGACTGCTGTGGAGATCATTAAGAAAAAGCGCAAGGGCAGGTACTTGTTTTTGTTTAATTTTTATGTTGAGGTTTTTATCATACTTATGATTTGTTCTTTTGTTTAGTGGTGGCAGCACTTGTGCCAGTGATCTCAAGCACCATCGTGGTGGTCCTGGTGATGGAGGTGGAGGCCATGATGATCATGGTGGTTTCAGTGGCGGGGATGCCAAACGTCCCAAACTCCACTAATAATGTAGAACTTGAAGAAAAAACTTAGTTTTGATCAAAGTGGGGTTGTTTGGTAGGATCTGAATTTTAAAATGTTGTTTGGTTGGAACATCTGATGAATTGTTGTTCTGAAAGGTAAAAATGACCATTTTACCTTTTTGTTTAAAATAATAATAAATATTAATAAAACCACAAAAAGTTTGAAGGAAATCACAACTTTTAATCCACTACATATGTTCATAACTTTTAAATACAAATTCACTTAAAATTCCAAATTAGGACAATGAAACAAGAAATAATATGTTATAAACTCAACATATAGATTTTACACTAATGCAGAAAATTACAGAAAAATCCCTTTATAGCTAAAATACCATCAATCCCTTGTTTGTTACTCCCTCCGTCCCAAATTAATTGTCAACTTTTGACTTTTAAAGTCTTTTTTCTTCAACTATGACCTTAAATATTTTTATTTGTGTTATATATTACTTGATGAAACTTATAACAAGGAAAAAACAATTAAAATACAACCCATTCATATATTTTGCATCAAGTGTTATCTATCAAAAAGAAAAATATTTAAGGTCAAAGTTGAAAAATAAAGACTGAAAAAGTCAAATGTGGACAATTAATTTGGGACGGAGGTAGTATTTCTTTTGATTCCAGGAGCAAAAGTGACACTCTTTTGAAGCCTCTCCCTCTCTGCAGCCACTAGTGTTGCTTCACCATTCTTTTTAACACAATTTCAGTAACCTTCCAAATCAAAATCAGTTAGATCAAAGAAATATAATTTCAATTCAAGCTCATAATCACGGATAGCCTCCAAAAATCTATCATGAATGTTACCCATTAAATTGTTCCAATTAACATAACCAGGGTCACATGTGTTTACAATTATCATCAAATTTCATGAAAACAACTTCAAAGTCATATATAAGATAACCAAGAACTAGTTCAACCACAAAGGCCACAAATCGATTTTCAAGCTTGCATCAGGTTGTATTTCAAAAATAAAATCGATTTTCAAAATCTTGATTTCAGAAAATCAGTAAGTTGATTATGTAAAATCGATTTTCAAAATTTTGATTGCAGAAAATCACATAATCAATTTTGTCAAAGAAACATAAAAAAATCAGAAACTTCGAATGCAAAATCAAAATCATGATGTTATTCACATAATCAATAACCCTAGAAATCAGAATTTGAACCAAAGCATCTGATTTATAGAGAATCGGACGTCAAAACTTGAAATCGATTGAAAATGTCAAACCTCAAAATCGATTGATCCAGACATCAAACCATGAAATTGATTGCTCTAGGGCGGTGGTTGTGGGGAAGACGGAAGCAACAATAACTATGGTGGAAGAGGCAGCGACTATGGAAGGGTGTTATGGGTGTGATTTCACCGACTAATGGAGATAGAAATAGAGTTCCTAAATCGATTAGATAAAATCGAATTAAGAAAAAACCTTACCTGATGATGTTGTCTCCGAGTTTTGACGGAGCTGGAGGCAAAGCGGGCTGGCGACTGTGAGTGGACCGGAGCGCGGATGGTGGAGGCGGAAGGTGTGCACGATCGAGAGAAGAAGGTCTAGGCGGAGGTCTATACGTGAATAAAAGGAACGGTGGGTAAAAAAGGAACAAACGCCTCTTCTTTCTTTTCAGAATCCGCTCCATATCTGAAATGTTAAGAGACTTTTAAAAACTTAAGAGCCAAAAAATAAGAGGCTACACTCCATATCTGAAATATTAAGAGACTTTTACAAACGGCGCCTGAGATCTAGTGTTTTTTTTGTTGGTTTGTGTTCTTAAATCATATTATACACTAAACTTAGATTGTGGTTTTCTATGATCCTAAAACAATCCCATTTTTACCATTTTGAATTTTGCCAAAAGTCCCTTTTGACCAAAATTTTCTCATTTTATTCAATTTTTACTTACAAAATGCTTATTCTGCACCATTTTTTATATGATGCCAAAACTTAGAAAACGGCTTCTAAATTATAAGCTATTTTTGTCTTATAAAAAATATGTCAAAAAAGATGTTTTTATGTCTTTTGTCTTGTGATAACATATTATATTTTTCTCAAATTACTTCCCGCCTACAAACATAAAAGGTCAAAAATACCTTTTGCCAAAAAAACAAACACACCCTTGATTTTTCCAATTTTTTCACTTTTTATTATTGCCTCCCAGTTCTTGAATTTTCAACATGTTTATTGTTTCAATCCAATATGATTACAAGGTATAACCGCTAACCTACTAATCTGATACATCATGTTTGCCTCTCTCTCTCTCTCTCTTTCTCTCTCTCTCTCTCTCTCTCTCTCTATATATATATATATATATATATATATATATATATATATATATATATATATATATATATATGACAACTAACCGTAGCCCTGTCGAAAATACCCGTTACCCGAATTACCCGCCCGATTTTTTCGGGTATCGGGTTAATTTTTTCGGGTATTTGGGTAACCCAATTTTTTTTCGGGTCGGGTGAAGGGTAAGTTTTTTGGGTTTCGGGTATACCCGATTACCCAAATATATTTATCAATTTTATTTTTCTTCTCTTCAAGCTTCTTTTCTTGTTTATCAATTTTATTTTTATATTTAGCTTCCTTTTCTTTTATGCATGATTCATTCTTATAACCACCCAATTCATTCTCAACTTCTTAAAGTCTACTACTTTCAGCTTGAATCTCGTGATTAGCCTTCTCAATATCGTTTTCTATGTTAAATAACTGCGCTTTGGATCATATGTTGCATGTCTGTAAAATTAAATTATGTAATGAAGGGTTTTGGGTCAAAATTATGGTGTATATACATGGAAGAATGACAAGTCGTCCAAATGGAATATTTCTTTCCTCATTATTTCCAAATCAATTGAGAACAAAGTTTCTTTTTCACCTCAAAGGTTATTAGACATACAAATGAGCTCCATGTTTTTCCCTTTAACGAAATTTTCACATATTATGTTTCCAAATCTCCTATGATGAACTTATTTTGATAACTCGTTTATTTGTTTTCATTGTCACAAATAATTATTTATATAGATTTGTGATCAAACTTCATATTTATATTAATTTTTTAACCTTTGTCATTCATATCATTTTCCTTTTATTATTCTTATTAGATTTGATTAAATTGTTAAACGAATACTTGATATCTCAAATATTATTGACTAAAAAATCTCAATGTTTAAAGTTTGAGCACGACATATTTATTTCATTAAATTTATTTTTAGACGCCATTAAAAAAAATATAAAAAATCGGGTAATACCCGAATTACCCAAACCCGACCCACTACCCGAATTACCCGAATTTAATTGGGGTCGGGTAACGGGTAATTTTTTTCACATGAAAAACCCGAATTACCCGAAACCCGAAAAATTTACCTGATCAACACCTCTAACTAACCGGGGATGATTTTACAATGAGGGTGGTGTGGCTAGTTTCTTTTATTGTGAACTAGTTGTGAGATTCATGTATTATTAAAATCAAAGTGTTTATTTATCTTTTAAATTTAAACTAATAATTTAAATAAATAAACAACTAAAATAGTCAGATTCAATTTAGAAATTTAAAATTATAAAAAAAGGTTGCATAAATGAATTGAATATACATTTATTATTATATTTAAGTATTATATGAAATGAAAAAACTACAAAATGATATATAGATATAACTTAATTCAAATTTATCACAAAAAATGACACGTGCCATAATACATAAAAGGATGAAAAGTGACAAATTTATTTTCATTTCTTAGATAGGATTTAATTGTTTTATTTAACGAGTTTAAGTAATTATTGTTGTAATTAAAATATTGACTAATAATAGGTGTTTGCATTTGTGGCTATTTATCATCTCTGTTGCCTTTCTAAGGGGCTGTTTGGTAGGATCTGAATTATAAAGATCTGAATTTTTAAGATGTCTGAATTTGTAAGAGGGTCTAAATTTTTAAGATCTAAATTGTTAACATGCTGTTTGGTTGGAACCTCTGAATTTTTATGCTGAATTATAAAAATGACCATTTTACCCTCTTTATTACTTTTTAAAGAATTCAATGTTTATTTTTATAAAATAAACGAACCAAAGCCTTCAATAATATATATATATATATATATATATATAATCAAAATTAAACAAACAAATTTAAATATATTTTTTTAAAATACAATGCTCTAACCCGAAGAGGCAAAAGTATGATGCTATAATAAAGAAATCAATAAAAATACATTGCTATTTCTTACATTCAACCCTTACAAAAAACAAGCTATAAAACCAATCCTCACCAAGTGACAGATACATAATAAATAAAACTATCTATTGCCGACCAATTAAAGAAGATGCTAACTGTTATGACGTAGATTAGGTGGAAGAACATGGACTGGATTAATGTACTTCAATAATGATCAAATGAAGAAACTCCATATTTGGAAAACCATTGAGAAAATGGATGAATGCTACCTTTGTGATGTTGTCTCTATCCAACATTGCCCATAAAGCGCATCCATGTCCTTCCCGTTGAACCCATTTTTCTTGAACCCAAATCTTTGAATTTCTACTCCCTGCACACTTAAGAAACAACCAAACATTCTATCACTTTCATATCAACAAAAAATTAACCACAACAATCAATACAAAATCAAACGAACTAATGATTTCATATAAACAAATTACGTGAACTATTGATTTCAACAACAAACTTTTCAAGAACATGTACATGGTTCTTCTTTAAACAAGTAATTTTACCATTTATCATTTCAGATTAAAGAAACACTCCAATTGAGTGTAAGAAAACCGTTGAGAGTATGCTTTTAGTGAAGTTCAACTCATTGGAGCATTTCTACAAACACTTTGTAGTCAATAACTCACTCCTAACATTCTACAATAATAAATCTGTCGAGTACTCAGAAAAGTTCACAAAATATTTTCAGTAAAATTCAACTCACTGGAGCATTTTGACAAACACTTGGTACAACAAGAAATCAATTGAGACTTACATGGCTGTTGGGTTAAGGTAGAGAATGCAGGAGACATGTCGACTCTGCCATGTCTATCAAGAAGACGAATCACAGAGAAGAAAATGGCCCAAAAACTTGAAATTCAAATGAAAAGAGTCGACTGACCAATTACTCAAAAACTTGAAATTCAAATGAAAAGAGTCGTATGTTATAGAAAAAGTCGCTTGG